AAATAATACAAATAAATAAAATAAAAACAAAGAAAAAATCCTTTTTAAAAAAAATAAAGATAAAAAATAAAAAAGTGAAGTGCTGTTTACTTGAGCCAAGTTTTAATGCCCCATTGGGGCTGGTTTAAGACCCCACTCTTCTGTTCTGTCTGCCACTTCTCAGTTTCCTGTTAGGTCGTCATCACCTTGTTGAAGTTCCATGGGATTCACTCTTCCTCTGTTTTTGTCTATCTCCACAGCCTTGGCTGCAAGTAGGCAGGACCAATCTCCCCACTTTGCCTGTCTGCCTGCTGTCAATCTTAATCACTCAAGCGTCTGTTTCTGACAGGGCTATAGGTGGGGGTGGTGCTGTATTGCTTTCCAGGACTGAATGGCCCCTCTTCAACCCAGTCTCTCAGGTCTCTTTGGGGCTATTCAGAGTCTTTGTGTCCTTTATACAGCTCAAGTGGCAGGCTGGGTGTGGCTATATTAGCTGTCTTGAGGCTGCTGGGAGGGACTGGCTCTTTAGGAGAAAAATGGCGGTTTAGGTCTGGAGGGTCCGGAATGTCTCAGTGCTGATTCCTGGTCACCTCTCCCCATCCCGCTCTCCTCCTCAGCCTCTCCCCAGGCTCCACAAATCCGCACCTCCGCCTGGACTGCAGCCTCGGTGAGTGTTTGTATTCGAAAGTTCCTGTGAACTGGGTTTATCGAATAAAAGCAGTGACAAAGCAGAGGCAAAACCATCATGAAATTGTGAGTTTCTCCCCCCCGCCCCCCCAACTCCCCGGCACCGCATGGCTCAGGCATCTCTTCAGGCTGCCTTTCTGGGTGCAGCCTCTTGCAGCTGTGGACTTAGATCTAGATTCCCCAAACACCAGCAGCCCCGTGGACTTCCTTTCCACTGTCAGATGTTACACCTATCCTTGAGGGACGCAGACTTGGTGCCCTGCAGCTTCCTTCTTACCCTCTCAGCCTGGTGGTCGCATGTCTCTCTCCTGCCCAGATCCCCAATCCTACCGTTCTCCAGGAGTCCTCTGCCCTTTCCGGCTGTGAACTGTCTCACCAGCTGTGTCTACTTCGCCAGTTCCAGGTGGATGTTATTTGATTTAGTTGCTCCTTCTATCTGCTCTGGGACAAGGTGCAGGACACACATCTGCCTATTCTACCACCATTTTCCTCTCTCCCAAGATCCTTTACTGTTGTACAATGTTTCCCAGGAGATGCTACTAACATTTTGAGGGAGAATTTTCCTTGTGCAGATAGCATACCACTTTTTGCAATACTTTTAGTATCCATCCTGACCCTTACCCACCAAACAGCAGTAATGTATTTCCCCATTCACAATTTGCAATGTTCCCTAAGGGCATTGAGAACCACTGAGCTAATGAAAGACAGATAAATCACTGGCCCATGCAGCCAGTGACTTACATCAAATTACCTTGCACCACTAGTTAATAGTGTCTATTATTCATCTGATATCTGTAACTGTTTTAAATGTTATGAGATTGGGATTGCCATATTTAGCAAATAAAAACTCAGGTTGCCCAGTTATCTGGAAGCTCTATATTAGAAATAATGCAATGTTACATTCCATTCTCTCTTTACCCCACTGACTCAGGAACACCAGCAAACTGGAAACTCAAGTATTTGGGATTTAGAAAAATGTGTTAATTGACACTTGGCTAACGGAATATTCTTATCACATAAAAATCTAATTTGTAATAACAAATAATTAGTCTATTGAATGTAACTAAAAACAAAATACTTGTGAACATTTATATTTCTCCTGCTATAGATATTAGACACTAGAGGCCTGGTGCACAAAATTTCTGGAGTGGGGGCCTCAGCCCATCCTGTGCCCTCTCACAGTCCAGGACCCCTTGCTCCTTACTGCCCACCTGCAGCGGAGGCAGGAGAGGCTCCCGCCACCGCCACTGCACTCGCCAGCCGTAAACCCAGCTTCTGGCTGAGCAGCGCTCCCCCTGTAGGAGCACACTGACCACCAGGAGGCAGCCCCTGCATTGAGCGTCTGCCCCCAGGTGGGAGTAAATGTCATAGCGACTAGTCGTTCCATGGTTTGATCGATTTGCGTATTAGAGTTTTATTATATAGGATTGTATATTCTTCAGCTATAATATACTTACTTACTTTAAAAAAAGCCAAAGATAGTCAGCAATTTAAGCAATAGGGCAAGCCAGACTCAAATAATTTCATATCAAATCTGAAAGGCTCATGAACTTCATTTCTTGTGGAATAAGAGATAAGGGAATTATAACAAAGAATAATTTCAGTTTTCCTGATTGAATTGTGAAAACTTAGAGCTTTAGAATTTTCATACAATCTCTGTTGACATGACTGACCTTAAGGAGAAAAATGATAAGGTATTATTATCACATTATATGATATCTCAACTGAAAATATACTCATGTACACCAGTTTTTCTGTTTGTTTGTTTCAGATTTTTAAAAAAAGCGATAATTCCTTAAGGAAGATATGCCACGATGAATGAAATACCTTTTAACCCATAGTAAAGAAACATGGAAAAGCCATTATGACTGATGCAGCAAGTTTAGGAGAATGAAAGTTGCTATTAAATATGACAGGCTGTCACAACCAAAAAAAAAAAAAAAAGAAGTAATTGATGTAAACATAGCAATACATTTATATTTATATTTAGTTTCTTTCAAAGAGTTAAAATAATGGAAATATTTTCTAAGTCAATAGTTTGGAATAATGCTGGCAAAAATAGCAAAAACTCAGATTAAAAATCTCTAAATGTGAAGCATATTAACATTATTTAGAGTCACTGCTCCACATGCTTTTGTTTTTCTTCAAATTTCCTTTAAGATAATTACATTTGTATCCCTTTTGGTTTCCTGTGCATGATTATGTTATTCTTTTTCTTTGTGATTTAGTATTTTTATCCAGGCTTCCTATTATTGGCTTCAATAAATCCATAATCAGCTAAAATTGGATTATTTTTGCTTTTCACAGCACATAATAAAATCTGAATTTCCTGTAATTATTTTTCCTGTTGTAAAATCATCGTTTCTTTTGTTACTTTAAATAAGAATGCTGTATAAATACATGCTATGATTATCTCCACCTGGTACTCAGTGAAGTGCCCTCATTAGGAACGTTTTCTCAGAAAGTGATGAAGCATTGCGCATGGACACATACTAACTCTGTGCTCAGTGATTAAATATCCCATCAGTAACAACGGAGAAATTAGTTTCACTGTTGGTGGAAAGTTACCCCAGAGCAATTTCTGGCCTACCTCTTGCCTCTTTTGCCACACCTCCTAACGTTTAAGGGACTTCAGCCCTGCTGGACAATTTTACAAAAGCCCCATGAAATCAGCAACAAAGCCAGTTTACGCAGAGTACGTGATTTTCTTTTAATGGTTTCTTTAATCCAGTGTACAATGCATAAGACTCCCCCATTAAAACATTCTTTGTAACTTTGATCTTTCCTAAAAAGATCTCTAAAGATCTAAGAAATGCTGGCCTTTCATAACAAGTGTCTCCATAGAAGCAAGATACATAGTGTATGGTATACCAGATCTCTATAATCCTGATCAAAATTCAAAGCCTCAAATTTTAATTTATTTTAGGAGCAAAATTTGTATCAAGAAACAGAGCGAAGTCTCTTCAAAAATAAAGAGCTCGCCCTAGCTGGTTTGGCTCAGTGGAAAGAGCATCAGCCTGTGGACTGAAGGGGCCCAGGTTTGATTCCGGTCAAGGGCACATGGCTGGTTTGCGGGCTTGATCCCCAGTAGGGGGCGTGCAGGCGGCAGCCAATCAATGATTCTCTCTTATCATTGATGTTTCTCTCTCCCTCTCCCTTCCTCTCTGAAATCAATAAAAATATATTTAGAAAAAAAATAAAAATAAAGAATTTGCTAAATCTGAGCGTAGGAGGAGAGATCTTAGATCTCTGCATAAGAAAACTGCTGGGCCCAAATGAAATGCATTTCTTACAACAATCAGCATAGCTTGTTTTTAAGGTATTATTTTGATTTAAACTTAGATATACCATATCTTCCCCATGCTGCCCATGCACTGGTAATGCATATATATTAAATTTACTTCTGAATGATTTTCGTGGTGTTAAGGTCATTGAAACGCCACAATAATAATCCTACTACAATTCCCAAGTGCAAGGTTTCTAATTCATATTCAGACGTGAGAAATCTCCCAAATAGGAAGTGGCTCCTTATTTGTTTTTTATCTATAGTGGGAAATTTGTGTCCTGGGAGCCTGTCAGCTACCTGATATCACTTTCCCTTTAAAGCAGGCCTCCGTTGGCTGGTCTGTAAAATGAGAACTTTTTGACTGGATGATTTCTAAAGTCCTTCCTTGCTCTGACATTCCTTGATTCTATGATTCATTATATAATTTTATGGGTAAATTTCCAAGTAACTTACTTTGTTTTTTGCTTCACAATTGCCTTCTTAAAAATGGAAAAGCATGTGGTTCTACCTTTGCAAACTCTCATGTCTTGTCCCAAATAGAAAAGTGTAACAAATTAAGAATGGTGTATGTTGGTTTTCTTCCCACTCTTGCAAAAACATGTGTAATTATTGCAACTACAAGAGTTTTTCTTATTTGAAGCACTAATACTAACACATCGAAATTAAAGCACTCTTCCTTCTAGTGGGCACAGATCTCAGACACTGTTATGGCTATTTCCGCATATCTGTAATCTGAATTCTGCAGGCAGACAACATCAATAATGTGCATTTATATCCCCTTGGTCAAATGCAGGTTTAGAAATTTTATGGTAGCATTTGGATGCTTCTAAAGCTCTTTAATTATAACTAGTTAAAATAGTTTTCTTTTTAAAATACTAGGTTGATTTTAAAAATTTATGAGTAAAAATGCATTTCCTTTCTTTTAATTTCATAACTTCCCTGTAAGCTTTGATGCACTTGTTGACTATAGGTTTTATTCCAGTTAAATGATCAATAACTTTTCTAAGAAGAAGGTTTTGATTAATGTCAATTTTTTATCTCTTAAAAGGATCCTTCCCGGCCATTGGCATGGAGACCTTCTGCCCCAGCTTCCTGAGGGCAGGGTTTTTAAGCAGCATCCAGGCTCCGAATCCAGTGGCAGGGGGAGGGTCGCTGCCCCCCAGGATTCCTGCTGGTATGTATTCCAGGTGAAATTTTCTGCCATCATATACAGCAGTAGGACTGTGCTCACAGTTGATAGATCCACAGTAAAAAAAAAATAAATATTTCTAAAGTACATTGTTGAGAGGAATGCAAGTGACTTTGTTTAAATGCAGGAATCACATTTATGATAACCAGTGCTGTGAAAATGGTAAGAAGTGGAAGGAAGATCTGTAACCTGAGCACCTCATTAGCATAGTGCTAACATTTTAAAATGCAATTTTAAAGTTTAGCAAATCAGTTTGTGGGTTATCCATGGTACTTTTATAATCACAAATTGTGTGTTCTCTATCATTTTGTAAAATACCCAGCTGCCTTCCTCCCTTGTACCTGAAGAATGCAAACCTACTTTATATTTTATATGTGTCTTAACAAAATAGCATTAGGATATTGATTCTTGGAGTTTTTAAATCATAATTCTTGTCTTTTTATCATAATTAGTAATTATGCTACAAATTATGGTGATGACACCAATGCATTCAGGAGAGCTGGCCCGGCCAGCGATATACTGGGAATCCAATAGAAACAAAATTCCAACATGCGCATTTCTTAGCAAAATTGTACCAACGAAGCCCAAGATTATTGCATTGACATTTTCCTTTTGCCTTTTATTTACACTTGCCTATTTAATTAAAACATACAAAGAGTTACAAACTATAAATAAGCTTTGATGTCGTTTGGTTTTATCATTAGATAATTACTGACATGATTGGAGACTTGGTGACCATCAATGCTACACTGATAGAGTAAGAGCCAAAAAAATTATGTGAATTCAAAATTAGCAATTTTAATTCTCATGAGTGTTTGCCACCTTTTTCTCTCCCTAGAAACAAAAAGGATATCAATTATACATTTTTTGTCGTCGTTGTTGTAAATATAAAAATGTAACTTTCATAAATAATATTAATATCTTATTGATTGGAATGAGATGAATGGATCATCTGTATTTTAATGGCTTAATTCTTAACTCTTAATAACAAATCTTGGTAGATTTAGGTGTATGTGGTTGAAATGACATAACAAAGTTTGGTAGTGACTTGAATTATTCAATATCATTGATAAAAAATAATAATAATAACCCTTGTTTAGCCACTGAGAAGAATAGAAGCAAGATGAGGTTTCTGTAACACATACACAGAAACAACTTTCTAGAGAGAGATCTAAGAGAACACTGTAGCATTCTATTCTTCTAGGCTTTAAGCCAAATTTGCCTCTAGCTCTCATAGGAGAGAAAACTCAGTTCAATTTTCATGACTTAAATATAAATCAGGTGTAACAAAATTGCTTCATAAAAGGTTTATAGATCTAAACTTGTTTCTGTTCCCTCAATCTGAAATTAACTCAACTCACTTCTCCTAGTTTATGTAACTCTGATAAGGGATCCGTGTATACTTTCCCACTTTCAGTAATGACTGCTGTGATTTCCAAGGTAATCTTTATCCTCTTCCATTTAAGTATAGCTTATTTCCCAAGAATTTTCTTTATAATTTTGTGTAAAGAGGAATGAAGCCATAATCATGGGTTTTTATTGTTTCATATTAAAAAGAAAAAAAAGCTGAAGTATTTCATTGCCACGGGGTAGCTGAACCAATGGCCCTTGAAGTCAGTTTGAGGGCAGGAAGGAGTTCCTCCCTTGACCTGTACCATGGCACTGTCAACAGTTGGCCAAAGGTTGATGTCCTCTGGGCAGTAATTAATTTGCTTTCCACCAGTTGACTATTTGTCACAGTACTTCGAAGGTCCCTGAAGACATTTGCTGTGTCCTTCAAAGAATCACAAAACCTGTCCTAGTGATGATGCTAATTTAGTTCTCATTACTTATGTTAATCAAATTTAAATGAGATCCATGTCTTATATAAACTCGTTTCTTTGTATTCATGTCACACTGTGCTATCAAGGAGTGATATTTTACAGCACCTCACATATTTTTACATTAACTACAATAATAGAATTATTGAATCGTGGGTCCAGAAAGCAAACACACCTAAAATTAGTATTTAGGTAACAGTTGTCAATTATTTATATTGTTTATATTTGGTCCTCTTTATCCAAGAGTTTTGCATCCATGGACTCAACAAACCACAGTTGGAAAATATTTGAGGGAAAAAAATCCCAGAAAGTTTCAAAAAGCAAAACTTGCCACATACCAAGCATTATACTGAATTCATGCAAATGAAATTATGAGTACGCATACCCTACTGTAACCTATATACTATCTAGGTTATATGCAAATGCAGCCCATTTTATATAAAGGACTTCAGCATCCTTGGATTTTGGTATCCTGTTTGAGGGGAAGGAGCTAGAATTCACCCAGTGCGGATACCAAGGGACTAGAAAGATCTGGTAAAGGCTTATTATTTGAAATTTTACTTTGAACTTAATTATTATTCAAAGGCTTATTATTCTTATTATTATTCAAAAATCAAGCAAAACACCAAGACATAATTGGCTGACAGTTGAATAGCAAGCATATTCATATATTTAATGCAATGTCTTTCATAATGAAGTAAGAAAACCACAGGAGAGAAGAAGAAGGGAGAGCAACGGTGGGAAGAGAGAGGAGAAGAGAAGGAGGTGGGGAAAGAAAGGAGAAATTGGAATGGCATAACTGAAATTACGTTTTTTAATATCAAAGTCTTTCCTACTGTATTCCTCCCTATTAAAATCAAATTCTACTCCTTGAAAAGAATGAATGTGCCTATTCTAAATATATTCTCAGGCATATACTCTAAAATGATAATAAGCTTGCTCTCTTTGCTATATCTAGTTTTCTCAAAACTGCCTGGTACTGGCACAAGAATAGGCATATAGATCAATGGAATAGAATAGAGAACCCAGAAATCGGCCCGAACCAATATGCTCAATTAATATTTGACAAAGGAGGCAAGAACATACAATGGAGCCAAGATAGTCTCTTCAATAAATGGTGCTGGGAAAATTGGACAGATATATGCAAGAAAATGAAACTAGACCACCAACTTACACCATACACAAAAATAAACTCAAAATGGATAAAGGACTTAAATGTACGACAGGAAACCATAAAAATTCTAGAAGAATACAAAGGCAACAAAATCTCAGACATATGCCGAAGCAATTTCTTCATTGATACAGCTCCTAGGGCACTTGAAACGAAAGAGAAAATGAACAAATGGGACTACATCAAAATAAAAAGCTTCTGCACAGCAAAAGAAACCATCAACAAAACAACGAGAAAACCCACTGTGTGGGAAAACATATTTGCCAATGTCATATCTGATAAGGGCCTAATCTCCAAAATTTATAGGGAACTCATACAACTTAACAAAAGGAAGATAAACAATCCAATCAAAAAATGTGCAAAGGACCTAAATAGACACCTTTCGAAAGAGGACATTCAGAAAGCCAAGAGACATATGAAAACATGCTCAAAGTCACTAATCATCCGAGAGATGCAAATCAAAACAACAATGAGGTACCATCTCACACCTGTCAGACTGGCTATCATCAACAAATCAACAAACGACAAGTGCTGGAGAGGATGTGGAGAAAAAGGAACACTTGTGCACTGCTGGTGGGAATGCAGACTGGTGCAGCCACTATGGAAGACAGTATGGAGTTTCCTTAAAAAACTGAAAATGGAACTCCCATTTGACCCTGTGATCCCACTTCTAGGAATATATCCCAAGAAACCAGAAACACCAATCAGAAAGGATATATGCACCCCTATGTTCATAGCAGCACAATTCACCATAGCTAAGATCTGGAAACAGCCTAAGTGCCCATCAGTAGATGAATGGATCAGAAAACTGTGGTACATCTACACGATGGAATACTATGCTGCTCTAAAAAGGAAGGAACTCTTACCATTTGCAACGTCATGGATGGAACTGGAGAGCATTATGCTAAGTGAAATAAGCCAGTCAATGAAGGAAAAATACCACATGATCTCACTCATTCATGGATAATAGAGACCATTATAAACTTTTGAACAATAATAGATACAGAGGCAGAGCTGCCTCAAACAGATTGTCAAACTGCAGCAGGAAGGCCGGGGAGGGTTGCGGGGCAGGAGGTAGGGGGGTAAGAGATCAACTAAAGGACTTGTATGCATGCATATAAGCATAACCAGTGGACATAAGACATTGGGGGATAGGGGAGGCTAGGGGACTGTCTAGGGCGGGGGGATAAAATGGACACATATGTAATACCCTTTGTAATACTTTAAGCAATAAAAAAAAAAAAGAAAGAAAAGAAAAGAATGAATGTGCCTATTCTAAATATATTCTCAGGCATATACTCTAAAATGATAATAAGCTTGCTCTCTTTGCTATATCTAGTTTTTTTATTTAATTCTATAACCTAACAGTTCTTAGAAGTGGGATAGAACATTTTAATATACCATTGACTATCATTCTACACAGGATCTTAGACTAGTAGCTCACCTTCAGACTCTGCTGCTACCATAATCTTTTATATTATAGAGGGTTTCACATGCTTAACATACATAAATGAAAGCAGAATAATAAAATCATTGAGAAATAAAATTATGCAATGAGACTAACGGAGTAATAATAAAAATTTCATTGATTCGGTTTTCTCTGTCACTTCACAATAACTATCTGACATCATATGATATCTTAAATTTACATAAACTCCAAACATTACTATGTGTCTCAAAAACTAAACTTATTTATAAAATATAAAGGGGTATTTATTATCTGACGATTACTTAGAAAATACTATCCTAGGTTGAGTACAATTTGGATCAACAAAATTCTAACTTGATTTTTTCTGTCATTTTTCTGTCACTTGTGGGAGACTGGAAAAATAATACTCTTCATTAATGAAGTAACTCGTATATGTAGGTTAGATTCTAGGCCAAACTGAAACATATACCTACACTAACAAGCTTTGTCAACTATAAGTGAAGTCTGTGAAAGAGGAAACAATGAAAACAGACAGCATGTGGGATTTAGAAATGGATAAGTTCTG